TGATGCACTTGGGAAGGCAACTGATGATGCCCCAGGTGTTTGGGCCCCTGCCATCCATGTGGGTCACCCAGATGAAGTTCTTGACACCTGGCTTCTGCCTGGCCCAGGCCTGGCTGTTTCGGTCATTTGGGAAGTGAACTAGCAGATGGAAGATCTCCCTCTCCCTCTCCTCCAATCCTCTCTCTCCCTCTTTGTCACTCTATTTTTCAAGGAGATTAATCTTCTTAAAAATGATTGGACAAAAAGGGTGTGATTAATAAACTGGGTGGAAAACCCAGTAAGGCCTGTCCAGATTCTTAAGCATTGTTTTATTCCTGGGTATGGGGCAGGACACCCCCCCCCTTTTTTTGAGAATTATTGTATTTCTTTGAAAGAGTTACACAGAGCGGTAGAGCCAGAGAGAGAGAGAGGTCTTCCGTTCTGCCAGTTCACTCTCCAAATGACTGCAACAGTCAGAGCTGAGCTGATCTGAAGCCAGGAGCCAGAAGCTTCTTCCAGGTCTCCCACACTGGTGCAGGGGCCCAAGGACCTGGACCGTCTTATCCTTTCTCAGGCCATAGCAGAGAGCTGGATTGGAAGAGAAGCAGCCGGACTCGAACCAGTGCCCATATGCGATGCACAGCGCTGGCCCCAGCACTCCTTCTGAAATAAAGGTCTTAGCTACTATCGGGTCAAAGAATTCATGACCAACCACAAGACAGAAAGGAAGCAGAAGATTCTGTGTGCTGCATCAGTGTGGGAAGAGAAATTCTAATTTCTGTGGCTTACCTTGGCGAGGGAGTTAGGAGTCAGGAACCATGGATAAAATGTGTGTGTATACTCACCCAAACGCACACACACGCATATAAAAAATATTGCTGGTGGAAAGGATAGTAGTAGGGGTAAAATGATATGGTAGTAAAATTAAACCAGGGCCGGCGCCACGGCTCAGTAGGCTAATCCTCCGCCTGTGGTGCCAGCACACCAGGTTCTAGTCCTGGTCGGGGTGCTGGATTCTGTCCCGGTTGCCCCTCTTCCAGGCCAGCGCTCTGCTGTGGCCCGGGAGTGCAGTGGAGGATGGCCCAAGTGCTTGGGCCCTGCACCCGCATGGGAGACCAGGAGAAGCACCTGGCTCCTGCCTTCGGATCAGCACAGTGTGCCAGCTGCAGCGTGCCCGCCACGGCGGCCATTGGAGGGTGAACCAACAGTAAAGGAAGACCTTTCTCTCTGTCTCTCTCTCTCACTGTCCACTCTGCCTGTCAAAGAAAAATTAAACCAGGTATGAAGGAAGGAAGGAGAAGAAAGTATCAGTAGTGATTTCTGCATTTCCAGTTTGTATCACAGAATGGATGTTGATAACATTTTGAGAGAGGGACCCCTAGAAGAGAATTAGATTTTAGCAAGAAGATCCTGGATTAGAATTTTTTACATTGATTAATTCATTTATTTGAAAGACAGACCAACAGGTAGAGAAAGAGACAGGTAGATACACAGAGTATATGCTCGCATTTGCTGATTGACCCTCCAAATGCCATGGGTGCTGGGAGCCAGGAACTGAATCCACCTTGCTCATGGAGTGACAGAAACCCAGTCAACTGAGCTGCTACCACTGCCTCTCACTATCTGCTTCCCAGGAAACTGGAGTCAAGAGCAGGCCCAGATATCAAACTCAGGCAACCATTTAGGATGCAGGTGTCTCAACAGTTAAGCCCAGTGCCTGCCTCCATGAGTTAGATTTGATGTGTTGACAATTGAATACATATTTGGAGAGAGACATTAACTAGGTATTATAAATTTAGGACTGAAAATATAAATAATGAGGACTTTTGGATATATTGATAGTAATTAATGTTGTGGATATAATTGAGGTTTCTCAGGAGAAAGAATATGGCATTGAGTATGTAGGTAAAAGGTAAACTTGCAATGCTAGTGATTGATAGCCAAGTAAAAGTAAGTTTAAGCTTCATAAGAGATTGAGAAGCAGTAAAGTGATAGCAGTCCAGTTTCTAATGAGGTTGATGTTTCCAGGAACATACTACGTTCTAAATATGTATTAAATGTGGTATCTTGACTCAGACTACATGGTCCATTAGAAAGACAAATGTTCCTTCTCTCCAAACCAGAAATTTTAACAACCTGATTTTTTTCCTCTAGTAATCGTTTCCAGTTTTTTTTTTTTTTGTTTCGTTTTGTTTTTAAGATTTATTTATTTATTTGAAAGTCAGAGTTACACAGAGAGGAGAGGCAGAGAGAGAGAGAGAGGTCTTCCATCCGATGGTTCACTCTCCAAATGACCACAGTGGTCAGAGCTGAGCTGATCTGAAGCCAGAAGCCAGGAGCTTCTTCCAGGTCTCCCATGTGGGGGCAGTGGTCCAAGGACTTGGGCCATCTTCTACTGCTTTCCCAGGCTATAGCAGAGAGCTGGATGGGAAGTGGAGCAGCCGGGTCTTGAACCGGCACCCATATGGGATGCCGGTGCTTCAAGGCCAGGGCGTTAACCTGCTGCGCCACAGTGCTGGCCCCATGATCTTTTCCAGTTTTTAATAGCTGTCTTTTTTCTTTTGTTTTTAACCATTGTATCCTGCCTAGTTCAGTGTAGTCTAGTGAATATCAAAATTCTCATCATTTTTTTTCCTTAACTGATTGGATCATAGCAGTTTTGCTCAAAAATTTCTGATAGTTTTTTTATCGCTACTGAATAGAAATTAGGCTTCTGACCATAGTTTCCAGTCTTTCTATGACCTGGTCCCAGCAGATTTTCCTGTTTTGTCCCTCCTTGTGCTTTACCAAACTGGGTTGCTTACTTTTACTTCCTATGTGTGCTCTGCATTTTCATGACACAGCTTTTGTTCATCTTATGAATACAGATGAAAGAACATACAGACTTTCGTCACTTTTAGCAGCCTGTCAAATCACTGCTTATCCTCTCAAGACTGCTCCAGTGCTTCTCCTAAAAGGCCTTAGCCAGTCTCTCTCAGTTGTAATGACAACTGTCTTGCTTTCGCAGTTGTAATAACTACTGTCTTCTGCTTTCCATCGCTCTTTGCCCCTTTATAGTACTTATTTTATTTTGCCTTGCAGTTGTTCTTGTTTCTGCCGGCACTGCTTGGCAGCTGCAAGCCTCTTGAGAAAATACTATAACGTATTTGTCTATTTTCCCTACACTACTTTTGTCTGTGTTCATAAATATTGAATACGCTGTGGACATTAAGACTAGGATAGAGGGCCAGCGCTGTGGCATACTAGGCTAAGCCCCCCCCCGCCCCCACCCCCGCCCCCTGCACTGGCATCACATATGGGCGCTGGTTCATATCCTGGCTGCTCCTTTTCTGACCCAGCTTTCTGTTAATCACCTGGGAAAGCAGTGGAATATGGCTAGAGTGTCTGGGCCCCTGCACTCACGTCAGAGACTGGGAAGAAGCTCCTGGCTTCTGTCTTTGGATTGGCTCAGCTCCTGCCATTGTGGCCGTTTAGGGAGTAAACCAACGGATGAAGATATATATATATATATATATATATATATATATATATATATATATATCCGGATATATTTATATCGGATATATATATATATATATCCGATTCTACCTCTCAAATAAATAAATGAAAATCTTTAAAAAAGAGACTAGGATAGAAAGAAAAATACTATTTTAAGTATTAATTTTTCTTATGATTCCATTTGATATCTTAGCCATACTGCTGTACTTCTGTTGTTGTTTGAGAGGTATAGAGAGACAGACAGAGCTCCCATCTACTGGTTCACTGCACAACTGCCTGTAATGGCTGGGACTGGGCCAGGCTGAAGCTCAGAGCCTGGAACCCAATCCAGGTCTCCATGTGGGTGACAGGGACCCAGTTTCTTGAGCAAACACTTGCTGCCACCTGGGCACTTCACAATGGGATGTGGGCATCTTAAGTTTTAACCACTAGATCAAATGTCTGCCTCTCTGTTGTACTGTTTATATAATTATATATACACAAAGCACTTTTTTTTTTTTACAGAAGCATTTTAGGGTGGGGAGGAGCTTTTTTCTTTTTAAAAAGAAAGATCTTAAATTGGCTTTAACAATCACTGTTCTTTATTTTTTTTAAAAAATCTAAACTTTGGAAAGGCTATTTTTTTTTAGATTTATTTATTTATTTGAAAGATGGAGTTACAGAGAGGCAGAGGCAGAGAGAGAAATCTTCCATCTGCTGATTCACTCCCCAAATGGCTGCAACTGCCAGAACTGGGCCAATCCAAAGCCAGGAGTCAGGAGCTTCTTCTGGGTCTCCCACCTGCATGCAGGGGCCCAAGGACTTGGGCCGTCTTCCACTGCTTTCCCAGGCCAAAGCAGAGAGCTGGATCAGAAGTGGAGCAGCCAATCTCGAACAGGCACTCATATGGGATGCTGGCACTGCAGCTGGTTGCTTTACCTGCTACACTACAGCGCCAGCCCTGGAAAGGCTATTTTAAAATCTTAAAGTTGTGTGTTCGTTATAGAACAATAAAAAAAATAAATATTCCTAACGGTAGCTCAGGATTGATGTAATATTCATTAAAGGATAATCTTCTGAAGAAAATAACTATTATTTTAGTGGCTAATAATCAGGAGATAATCTTATATTCTTTTTGTTGTTTGATATGCCTACTATTTATTTGCATAGCACAATTAAGATAATGAAATATTTTGTAGGGATTATTAAATATGATATACAGGAGTTATTCCAAAATTTTATGAAGATGTTTATAATGAAAAATGATCTCTGCCTTTTAAATAAATCTTAAACTCTGCCTTTCAAATAAATAAATCTTTTTAAAAAATTGTACATGCATTTCAGTTTTGTGCTCTAAAATAAGCATATATTCCAGTTCTATTTTTCCATAAACTTTTTGAAGTACCTTATGATTTTTCCTACCACTATAAGATTGTGTCTTTATATTGAAATAATGACTTAATGGCTTTTCTAATAAGAAAACTATTGAAATAAAATGCTAACTTTAGCTCAATTATTAAATTTCATTTTCCCTCTTAATGCAGCTCTCAAGAGGCAGAATTTGTATAATAACCCTTTCAACTCTATGAGTTACACAAGTCCTTACAGTCCAAATGCCAGTAGCCCATACAGCAGTGGCTTCAATTCTCCATCCTCAACTCCAGTACGACCTCCTATAGTCAAACAGCTTATACTTCCTGGAAATTCAGGTAAGGAAAAGCAAAATAGAGTTTACTATGGAATGGTTTCTAACTGACTGACATACCTCAGAAAATAACTTTCTTAGTAGTTTAGGTTCTTTTTTTTTTTAATATTAATGAAGCTTAACTGCATTGCTACCTTACAGCAGGTTAGTACTGTGTCTCAACGGTACGAAGTTAGGTTATACCCATATAGTTTTCTTTAGCTCCTGTCTGAGAGTTTGTGTTTTTTTAGTGAATGTGTTTTCTTTTTAATTAACTCATAATAATTGTACATTTTATGGGGTGTAGTGTGGTATTTCAATATAGGCATACAATTTGTAATGATAAAATCAAGGTAATTAGTATTTTCAGTTCTTTATCATTTATTTTTTATTGGAGCTTTTGAGTTCTTCTCTCTTCTAGTTCTTCATAAAGTATTTAATAGATAGCCATGAACTGTAGTCACCTCCTGTGCTGTGGAACACCAGAACTATTCCTCCTATCTACGTGTTTTGGTGTCTGTTATCCATTCCTTCTACTTAGAGGTTTTTGTTTCTTGGATCGTCCAAAACTTGATTTAATTAAATCAGATCACAAGGCTGGTTGTTTTAATCAAAAGATCTTTAAAGCAGCCTGTTTAGGTTGTAAAACCTACTGAGTTTAAAAACTCATTTTTTAAGGAGTTATAATAAGCTTTGACACTGCAGTTAAACCATAATGTAAATTGTATGTAAATGTGTCAGGAGTGGTGCTTTGGGAAGGACCAGCTGTGAACTGAGGAAAGTGTGTTTTGCTTTGCTTTTGTAATTGACTCTCTTACTATGTAGCCTACTCTTCTATAGAATTCATCCATTCAGTTACTTGTATTGGTGCTATTGTTATGACTATTACAGCTTCCTTAGAAATTAAGATACAAACTGCTTCAATTTTTTTTACCTGTGTACTCCCTAGTCTAATGATTTTATTGATCCTGCTGTTTGCATAACATGTACAAGTTGTCCTTTACTACTAATTTCACTTGTGATAATGTCATATTAAAAAGTATAGCCTGCAGGATTTATTTTAAAATGAAGAATTTGATTCAGACATTATTGTAGCCTAACCTTCTAGTACATTTCCCATCATGTACACTATGCTCTTATTTAACTGGTAAAATAGATGTTAATTATTTTGTATGTTTCTTGCTCTTCTTACATGCCTTTCATGTTGAAATTAGCTCTTATGGGAAAAAAAAATTCTGAGAAATAAGTGTTTCAAATAAATCAGTATTAGAAATACTAGTGGCAACATTCTTCAGCACAAGTTGGTGGTCAATGAAAGCATTTCTTTAGAGACAGGTTAAACTCTTTTGGACAACCTCTGACCTTTCTTTGGTCCCCTTTTGGTTTTGAAAGATCACATAAATTTTAAGAAGTTTTATTTTAAGCTATAACTGGGTCATAAAAAATATACATATTTATGGGATACCATGTGATGTTTCAAAATACTTTTTCTATATAGTCATTTTCTCCATCTCAGTTTTTGTGCTTTGCTACTAAAAATTAGGGAATTCCTTGAGCCCCCATTACTAATTTGGAAAAGAAATTATGTAAACATGAGAATATGCAAAAGACAAATGCTAGAGAAATTAGCCTGGTGTTCTTTTTTTGGTTTGTTCCTAAATCTCTAGAAAATTTAATTTATCTCACATTATAGCTTTCTTGTTTAGGAAAAGCCAATGTTTTTATTCAAGGAAAAGATGATGGTGTTAATTACTGTGTTTGCAAGAAGAAAGCTTATGGAGCAGTTTTGTTGACTGTCTTGTAAAAGTTTAAGTCCTCTAAAGTGAAGTTACTGCACACCAACTGTTTGTTGGGCACTGTTTTGAGAGCTTCATTGCTCTTTAAGAGCTAACTAAGTTATGCTTAAATGAAAATGTGTTTTCTACTTATGCCGTAGTATATAAAGGAGTCTCTATAGCCCTCTTTTTCCTTAATGAGGTCACCTTCTAATTTCATTATTTGAGAAAAGGTGGCGTAATAATGAACTGATTCAGAGGATTTTATTTCATGTTAATTGCAAAAGACATTTATTTAAATTTTGTCTTACCAAAACTTGACATTTTTTCTCTTTTTAAGGTAACTTGAAAAGCTCATCAGACAGAAATCCTCCCCTTAGTCCTCAGTCCTCTATAGATAGTGAGTTAAGTGCTTCGGAATTAGATGAAGATTCAATTGGATCCAATTATAAGCTAAATGATGTAACTGATGTGCAGATTCTAGCCCGGATGCAGGAAGAAAGTAAGTATTTCTTTTGTTAAAAGTTGATGTTTTTTCACTACTCAGTAATTTTGTCATTTTGTCCTGGGTACTAAGTACATCTTAAAATGGTAGGAACAATAAGGTTTTGAAAGTAGGAATATTGAAATGGACATTTCAGAGAATTATTCAACATATGTACACTTGTTTGTCCCTTAACTTGTTTTGAGAGTTTATTTTACCTACAGCGATTTTATTGTACAGGGAGCAAAGAAAGGCATTTCATGGTCAGGGTCTGTGCCTGGTACTTAGACCCTGTGTGTTACCCTGCTGCTTATTAGTGCAGCTGCCTAACTCTACCTTAAAATAAATTCACTTCTCCTCTGGACCCTAACTTTATAGATTCCAGTATTTCCTTAGCAGCTTAGTCAGGGGCAGATGTTGGGATAGTGGTAAAGTCACTGCTTGGGACACCAGCATCCTATATCAGAGTGCCTTGAGTTCGAGTCTAGACTTGGCTCTCAATTCCAGCTTGCTGCTGGTATGCACCCTGAGAGACAGTGTGTGGATGATTCAAATAGTTGGGTCCCTGCCACTAACATGGGAAACCCTCATTGACTTCCTGACTCCTGTGTTTGGCTTGGGCCAGTCCCAGCTGTTGTGGGCATTTATGGAGTAAACCAGTGGATAGAAGATCTCTCTTTCTCTATCTATCTCTGTCTCTTTATTTTTTTAAATTAATTAATTTATTTGAGAGACAGAGTTATAGACAGAGGGAGGGACAGAGAGAGAGAGAGGTCTTCCATCTGCTGATTTACTCCCAAAATGGCCACAATGGCTGATCCAAAGCCAGGAGCCAGGAGGTTCTTCTGGGTCTCCCACACGGGTGTGGGGGCCCAAGCACTTGCCTCATCTTCCACTGCTTTCCCAAGCCATTAGTAGAGAGCTGGATCAGAAGAGGAGCAGCTCAGACATGACACAAACCAGCACCCATATGGGATGCTGGCACCACAGGCATAGGCTTAACCTACCAAGCCACAGCACCGGCTGTCTATCTCTCTTTCAAAAAACTAAAATAAATTTTCAAAATAAAAGCTCAGCCAGCCATTTTTATTGTGTTTTGGAATAAATAATAGAAATTTTAGTCTTACTGTACTTTATTTTTTTTTATTTTTGACAGGCAGAGTTAGAGAGAGACAGAGAGAAAGGTCTTCCTTCCGTTGGTTCACCCCCCAAATGGCCGCTACGGCTGGCGCACTGCGCCAATCCGAAGCCAGGAGCCAGGTGCTTCTTCCTGGTCTCCCATGTGGGTGCAGGGCCCAAGGACTTGGGACATCCTCCACTGCCTTCCCCAGGCCACAGCAGAGAGCTGGACTGGAAGAGGAGCAACCAGGACTAGAACCCAGCACCCATATGGGATGCGAGTGCCGCAGGCAGAGGATTAACCAAGTGAGCCACAGCACTAGCCCCCCCTTACTGTACTTTAATAGCCCCATCTAAGCCATCCACATGCATGAATACATGAATTAAAAAATGCTAAGGGGCCAGCACTGTGGCATAGTGGGTAAAGCTGCTGCCTGCAGTGCTGGCATCCCATGTGGGTGCCAGTTCGGGTCCCGGCTGCTCCACTTCCTGTCTGGCTCTCTGCTATGGCCTGGGAAAGCAGTACAGGATGGCCCAAGTTCTTTGGCTCCTGTGACCAAGTGGGAGACCCGGAATAAGCTCTTGGTTCCTGTCTTCAGATCCATGCAGCTCCAGCCGTTGTGGCCATCTGGGGAGTTAACCAGTAGATGGATGACCTCTCTCTCTCTCTCTCTCTCTCTCTCTCTCTGCCTCTGCCTCTGCCTCTGCCTCTGCCTCTGCCTCTGCCTCTGCCTCTCCGTAACTCTGCCTTTCAAATAAATATTTTTTAAAAATCCTAAAAGTGTGATAATTCCATGAAAATGATTCCCTTCCCTTTTTAAAAAAAAAAAAAAAGATATGATTTTCCTTTTACATCATCTCTCCAGGTATTTTGTAACAGTTATAAATGCAGAATTACAAATTTGAGCTGTTGTCCAAGCTCCTTCATTTTTAAGATGAGAAATTCAAAATCCTGTCTGTGGTGATTGTGACTTCCTTAGGATCTTCTTGTTAATGGAGAGCCTGTATTAGGATCTAGTTTTTCTTTTCTGAAACAGCACTCTTTCACTGGTATTAGATGACTTTGATGCCATGTTTGCTGTAACTAGACACTAAGAAGCTATCAGTTACTATTGTGGTTCCCAAATCTAACTATAGGACTAAGTGGACTGCAGGAATTTCTAGTTTTAAAGATACCCTGGAGTTATTCTAACCCACTAGTTTGGGGAACCCCATTGATAGTATTTTCTGTGTATGACAACAAATATTTTTGACTGGGTTGCTGATACTTAGCAAGACTTGCTTAAAATAATACCTTATCTAAATTCTATATTGTTTTTGCATCATAATTTATTTGTTGAATATATTGTGTAATAAACATATACTTTTGTTCTCAAGGATTTGTAGTTTTTGAAGGACTTCTAAGGTTGCCTAGGTGTTTTTTTTTTTTTTTTTAAGATTTATTTATTTATTTGAAAGTCAGAGTTACACAGAAAGAGAAGGAGAGGCAGAGAGAGAGAGGTCTTCCATCCACTGGTTCATTCCCAGCACTGGCCCCAATGGCTGGAACTGTGCTGATCCGAAGCCAGGAGCTTCCTCCGGGTTGCCTATGCGGGTGCAGGGCCCAAGGACTTGTGCCATCTTCTTTCTTTTTTTTTTTTTTTTTTGACAGGCTGAGTGGACAGTGAGTGAGAGAGAGAGAGACAGAGAGAAAGGTCTTCCTTTGCCATTGGTTCACCCTCCAATGGCCACCACGGCTAGCGTGCTGCGGCCAGCACACCACGCTGATCCGATGGCAGGAACCAGGTACTTATCCTGGTCTCCCATGGGGCGCAGGGCCCAAGGACTTGGGCCATCCTCCACTGCACTTCCCTGGCCACAGCAGAGAGCTGGCCTGGAAGAGGGGCAACCGGGACAGAATCCGGCACCCCGACCGGGACTAGAACCCGGTGTGCCGGCGCCACAAGGCGGAGGATTAGCCTAGTGAGCCGCAGCGCCGGCCTTGTGCCATCTTCTACTGCTTTCCCAGACCATAGCAGAGAGCTGGATCTGTAGTGGAGCAGCTAGGATTTGAACCAGTGCCCTTATAGGATGCCGACACTTTAGACGGCACCACAGCACCGGCCCCTCTTAGGTGTTTCTGAAGGTATCAAGCTACATAGGAGACCTCTTTGAGAATTCTCACTTGAAAGCTTAGAATTTGAGCCTTTTTCTGAAAAAAAAAAAAAAAAATTTTTTTTTATTTGAAAGGCAGAGTTACAGAGAGAGAGGGAGAGTGTGAGCGAGAGCACTTCCATCCACTGTTTCACTCCTCAAATAACCTCAGTGGCCAGGGCTGGGCCAAGCGAAAGCCAGTAGCCTAGAACTCCATCTGGGTCTCCCCAGAGGTTGGCAGGGGCCCAAGCACCCATGCCATCTACTGATGCTTTCCCGGGCACATTAGCAGAGAGCTGGATTTAAAGTGAAGCAGCTGGGACTCAGACCAGCACTCGTGGGATGCTGGCATCTCAAGAGGGACCATGCTGCTCCCTTAAGCTTGTTTTATAATGAAGCAGTTGAAGTTTCATTTATGCCCAAGTATTGAGCTCCTGATATGGGATAGAAGTTTCCTTGGCACTTCTCACCTTCATGAGTAAAATTATGCCAAGATTAAGTATTCAAGGAGTCTGTTTATTTACTGATGTGTATTCTATTCACTAGTTGAACAAAAATTTTCTTCTTTAAATGTTCCTTTAATGTTACTTTCAAATTTGGATTACTGGGGCTGGCGCTGTGGTATAGTGGGTAAAGCCGCCACCTGCAGTGCTGGCATCCCATATGAGCGCTGATTCGAGTCCTGGCTGCTCCACTTCTGATCCAGCTCTCTGGTATGGCCTGGGAAAGCAGACCCCTGTACCCGTGTGGGAGACCCGGAAGAAGCTTCTGGCTTTGGATCGACACAGCTCCTGCCTTTACAGCCACTTGGGGAGTGAACCAGGAAGACCTCTCTATTTCTGCCTCTCCTCTGTGTAACTCTGACTTTCAAATAAATAAATAAATCCTTTTAAAAAAGTTATATTACTATATTGAAGAGTGGAAATATTTGTAAACTTATAGTTCCATCTTGTAATTTATATTTTAGATTCAAGAAAAAAATCTTGAAATTGGGCAGAGATTTATGGATTTTCATGTAATTTAAAAATGACTTTCAGATGTAGCTTATGCATCCTTATATGGGAGGGTATCTGAAAGGAAAAATGGAGCTTTCCTTTACACTTTATACACTACTTGAATTTCTCAATGATAATCTTTTACTTTTAAATTTTAAAAATATCTGGCTGTCTAAAAGTATAATTATAAAATTAACACATTCATTATCTCTAGGTCTCCGGCAGGAATACGCAGCCACCACATCTCGGCGTAGTTCTGGTTCATCTTGCAATTCTACAAGAAGGGGTACTTTTAGTGATCAGGAACTTGATGCACAAAGTTTAGATGATGAAGATGACAATATGCATCATGCAGTATACCCTGCTGTTAACAGGTTTTCACCATCACCACGCAATTCACCTCGACCATCACCTAAGCAGTCTCCCAGAAATTCACCTCGTTCACGATCTCCTGCTCGGGGAATAGAATACAGTAGAGTGTCCCCACAGCCCATGATTAGCCGCTTACAGCAACCTCGCCTTTCACTTCAAGGCCATCCCACGGATTTACAGACAAGCAATGTTAAAAATGAAGGTAAAAAGTGGCGGATTTTATAATTGAAATGTTTATGGAAAAAATTGTCCTTCATATTTCAGTGTGACAATAAACTTTAGCCAAGGTTTTATATTTCAGTTAATTGACTTAAAAGTTTATTCAGGTTTACCATTTTACTAATAGTGAATCAGTATATAAATAAAAGAGAAAGTGAATTTTATTTTACTTGGTTATGTTTCTTTTGCTTTATGTTACTCCTGAAGTGACCTGTATTTTGATTATTTAGATTTAGATTTAAATATATGACTTGTGATTCTCTTTTTCCTGCCATAAATAGACTCTGGGTTGTTTTGTTTTGTTTTAAAGAATGTAAGTAGCTGCTATTTCTTCTTCTACAGTATGCAGAATTTTTAAATAAATTAATTTTTGAACTCTCATTAATGTTTTAATTCTCTGCCTAGCTGAATGATTTGATTTGATTTTAATGAAAATTCTATTGTAGAAAAACTAAGACGCAGTCTTCCAAACCTGTCCCGAACATCTAATACACAAGTTGACTCAGTGAAAAGCAGCAGAAGTGACTCAAATTTTCAAGTGCCAAATGGAGGAATACCTCGCATGCAACCTCAGGCTTCAGCCAGTAAGTATTTTTCTTACACTTTCATGTATCAGTTATTTAAAGGAAAGTGAAAATTATAGATATTTATTTTGTGCTGAATAGCTGTATTAAACTATAGCTGTGGTAAAGTTTAGTTTTTATTAGTTGCTATAAGATAATTATAGCTATGTTAAAATTTAAAGTTTGTCCCTAGAAAATACCTTGTTCTATGAAACTCTAGTCTCTACAGAATTTTATAGTAAGCAAGAACTCTGTTTTTAAAAATTAAAGGTGGAATTAGCTTTTGCTTATAGAAATTAGAAGTAGAAATAATAGCCAGTATGCTGTTCAAAGTATATATTCCAGAGTAAATATTTAAATTGTCTTTAATATTCTCCACTTTTAAAATATCTAAAAGTTTATTGTTATGTATTTTAGAACACACCGTAATCAAAATAAACAATTCTGTATTCATATTTGTAATATAGTGAATCTATAGTAAGTTGGATTTTTGTAGCCCTTTTCTTTCCAAAACAAAAGTACATCACAAGAACCCTTTGCTGATTTTGCTTCCACGTCTGTTAATATGAAATTTATGATTTTGACTGGATGGATTTTGTGCCTGTAAAGGATATTTTATGAAATAATATTTAATCAGTATGGATGTCAAATTAATACATAATCCTAATCCTGCTTAAAATATAGACTAAAATTGAGATGGTGAATTACTAGACATTGTCATTTTTTGAAGATGTGGTCAGTATTTCTGTACTTAAATTATCTTTTGGAAATAAATACTTAGAGTTAAAACTAAACTCAGAGAAAATGAATTATTAAGTATAGCAAAGAAAAAATGTTGATTATAGTTTTTAACTTTAATGATTAATTAAATGGATACTAATCCATGATTGTGGCAGATCTTTCTAAATGGAGGTACATGTTTTATTCAGTCGTTATTGGTAATAAATTTTTGAGTGATCGTATGACAAGTAGTATGTCAATAAATACATTTCTACTGTAGCACAAAATATACATTCCTTAAAAACTTCACATTCTGTAATACTGCACATTAAAATTGATGGGATTTGGAGGGGAAATAGTCTCGGAACAGACCACCTAAAACTCAAGTAGCTTCATTACTAAGCATTAATAAAAACAATGATTAAAGGTTTCTGGGAGAAAAAAATAAGAACGGTGATTCCATAAAAATGCTAATACAAAGGCATGTTAAATCCTTAATGAATAAAGTAAATACTGCAACAAATATAGGACTTTATTTTTTTTAAATAGGCGACGATATCTTGATGGAAAGGGAGGGGAAAGACTTTTGAAATGTGGAGACTCATGCAACACAAATATCAGAGAGTAATACAGTGTGAACCTCGAAAACAAAGTGGCCAAACTGAGGTATAAAAAAGTAACGCAGGATTAAATGGTTGTTCTGTACATTACTGTACAAAAGAATTAAATACTTTGAAGAAACTATTACCTCTTCACTATAATAAATGTGACCTTTAGTTGACTTTAAATGAACTAGTAGAGTCATTTCTATGATCTTACAAATGCTCAGTATATATCCCTTGTGTTCTACAGCTCTCATCTGTCCTGTACTTTGCCATGGAACACAAAGGGTGCATATTCATTCAGATCTTTGTAAGGCACAAGAGGTGAATATTCCCATTGTGGGATATTACCATCAGTATTGGAAGTAATAGCCTTCATTTCCTCAAAGCTGTGAGGAATAAGTGATACAAACATGAAGTTATTGACTGTTCATTTATAACTTGCTTAGTGAGTGATAAAATCTTAAAGTATTCAATTCTTTAATTCTTTTATACCCTTCTTTGGCTGTGTTGTGCATAGCTGATTTTATTTATCTTTTGTTAAGCTACTGTCCATTGATGGCTCAAAAATCAACAGGCTAAGGGGGAAAAACAATCAACATGAGTTTTATGTGGCAGACATTGGGCTTGGTGGTAAGAAACCGGCATCTCATATTGAAGTGTTGCAGTTTTGGGTTTGAATGCTGGCTGTGCTCCAGTTCCAGTTCAGCTTCCTCCTAATGTGCACCCTGAGAGGTAGCAGATGATAATAAGTGATTGGGTCCCTATGTGGACGATCGAGTTCCTGGCTCGCGAGCATTTGGGGAACTTTCTGTTAGTCTTTGTCTCTCTGCCTCTAAAATTAAGAAGATAAAAAATGGCTTCTATGATATACTGACAAACTTTCCTATTACCAGCTGCATATGATATTATGTATACAACAGAATTTCACACTATACAGTATTTACATGGGTAGTCTTGTTTAATCCTTATAATAGTTCTGTGAAGGGAGTACAGTGACTAGCACATTTTACAAGTTACAGAAGCTTTGAATGGTTAAATAATTTATCTGTAGTCATACAGCTTTTAAGTGGCAGGTTAGGTTCAAACCCATGTTGATCCAGTTCAAGAATCCAGGTTCATTTAAAAAGATTTGTCACATTCATGGTTTAGTACCAAGGTATAAAAATTATCCAGAAATGTAATCTCTAGTTTTCTGAGATTAAAGCACTATGAAAAATTGTTTCCTCAAGATTTATATACCTCATTTATTCAGCTTTATATATGCTAAACATGTTTTGTGTCAAATTAAATTTTAAACTTAGTATTCCAGGTCTTGTGGATTGATACTATAAATTGTATAATTAATATTTCTATTATTGTATTTATAGTACTTAAAAATGGTATAGAAGATAGGAATTCATAAAACTTTAAATGAAAAGAAGGTTAGAATTTTAATTTTATTATCTCTGAAATAGTAATAAGTTTTATGCCTTTAAACCTGAAAATTCAGTTAGTTTTACACTTGAGAATATCCCGTTTTAAGAGTTTTTCCTCTTTATATACTTAGTTGATACCAAAAAAACACACAATATTAATATAGAAGGAAAAAAAATTTTATATCATTCAGAAAGCTAAGTAATAAAACTCATGGGTATTGTTTCTACAATATACACACTGACAGTCCAAAGCAATCTTTGTACTTGGCTTTCAGAGATGCTTCTATATTTAATTTGAATTAAATTCAGAATTTCTTAAAACTTTACATTATAAATCTCTAAACAGTGTCCCAGCTGTTTGATAAAATCAGCTGTATCTATATCCTGTTTACCTTATTCCATTATTAGCAGTTCTACCTTTTTCCTCAGGTTGTTCCCTTATACATGCCCTTTATTGGAACTGTTCTAGCTTCTGATAGTTTTATAGAAATGAAAATAATTCTTCGTGAAAAAGACAATGTTGGGAAACTGGAATAAGAATGCTAATAGAAAAATGTGCTGGCTATATTTTAAACTATAGTATTTACTTGCCTTCTCTAGTGGTAGAATTACTATTATATAATCACTTGCTGATTTCCTAGAGTTTTTTTTCTATAGGCAAGTTATTTTTCTTTTTCCCCAGAAGATGATAATTGACAAAAATAAAAAGGTAAAACATAATGGTATTCTAATCACTAATTTACTATTGGGTAGAAAATATGCATGTAGTTTCATAATGGTGTATTATTTCAGTGTTTGAATAATGATCAAGTAGAGGAGTTAAGTAAGTTATTCTTTTTAATCATAGATATTTATTTAACTGTAATAAAGTGTATAATTAAAATGTCACAAACATGCTTTAGTATAGAATTACATTATTGAAAATGTATTCAAAAAGTAGTAAATCCAATATTAGTTAACTTTAAAACTTAACATTCATTTTATAAAAATAATTAAAACTTTTTGTTTAAAGTTAATACATCATGAAGAAAAAAACTTTTTCTTAAAATTTTACATGTATCTTCAATAGCTAAAAAATATTAAGTGTTCTTTTAACATATGTATGGTTTTTGTGGTAGCCTTCTTTTGATGTATAATGCAAATATTTTAATAGCAAGCTTTATGTGTTTTATACAGTGAGTTGATATTTTGTAATTTTTGTGGTACTTTGCATTTTGTTTTCTTTTAAATATTTATTTTTTCAGCTCTTAAGTGGTAAAGCTTTAGTTCTTACTTGCTGGTTTGCATGAAGCTAACTTTGCAAGGTTGCTGTTACTTCCACTTAAAGGACCACTTCTTTTGCCTTATTACTATGCCAATCACTGTTTTTACATGCTTATTGGCTATGGCTGCATTATTGTGGATGCTGGCATTCAGATACGAACATTATAAGAGTTCTAATGTCTTTTCACTTTTAAAGCTCCTACCAATTTTCAATTTCTATATTTGGAAAATGAGTAACTTAAAAAGTTTAAGAAAACCAGAGCATTGCAGAGGTCATGGGTAAATGTCATTTCTTCAGTTTCTTCAATTAAAGAATAAATGCTTGTCAGAGGCAGTCTTTCAAATTAGATAATGCCTTTTACTAAGACTACTGCAGCACAGGTTTAGTAGAAAGTTTAAAGAAAAATAATTAGTGGTTCAGAAATAAGTAAAAGGAACAGAGAAAATCCCAAGACAGTCCAATTTTTAAAAAATATTACTGAAAATTTGATTAGTATTTTTAGATGTTTAAAGTATTTTCACATGTATTACCTCATTTGAAACCCACAAATATCCATTTCCGTCTGACTGTTTGTTCTATTGGTAAGATTTACTTATTGGAAAAGCAGTTATAGAGAGAAGGAGAGACAGAGAAAAGTGCAATCTTCCATCCACTGGTTCACTCCCTAGATGGCTGCAATGGTTGAGACTGGGCCAGACTGAAGCCAGGACCATGGAAATTGCATCCAGGTCTCCTTCATGGGTGCAGGGACCCAAGCACTTGAGCCATTATTTACTGCTTTCCCAGGCACATTAGCAGGGAGCTGGATTGGAAGTGGAGCAGCCAGGACTCGAACTGGCACCCAAATGGGATCCTGGCATCACAGACAGTGGCTTAATCCTCTATGCCACAAAGCTGGCCCCATTTGTTATTTGTATAGAAAGGGAGCATAGGTCCATATAAGTTATGTGAACTGTACAAGATTATATAACTAGAAATTTGCCAAAACCAGGCTAAATTACCCACTCCTTTAAAACTCCTCCCCAAATTTCCTGATTACCTCCCCATTTTGTGTGAATTATATCTTGCAGACCTGATTACAAATGAATAAGCATGTTGGTAAACATTCTTGGATGATTCTATTGGATCATAATTTGAGACTGAACTGCAAGTAATTTATGAATTACCACAAGAGGAAAATAATTCAGTATAATATCCATTTTACATATTGATCTGTCTCAGTACTTTTACAGTTCTAGCTTCTGAAGATTAGTTTCTTCAGACTTGATCTCCTTTGAATATTGAGACACAGCACGCTACAACCATATTTATCAGTCTATCTTCACTCATTTTTGGTGGAAGAACACTGTCTTTAAATTTAAATTTTGAAATTTTTTTCATGAAGCAGGTGCTATACAAATAGGGAAAATCAACATAAGGATAATTTGGAAGAAATTCATAAAAATCTCATTATAATCAACTTCAGAAATTGCCATACTGTCCATGTCTTTGTTTTAGTGTTATCAAGTCTAATGATTTTTTTTTAAAGATTTATTTATTTATTTGCAAGTGAGAGAAGGAGAGGCAGAGAGAGAGAGAGGTCTTCCATCTGCTGGTTCCAGAGCTGTGCTGATCCAAAGCCAGGAGCCAGGAGCTTCTTCCAGGTCTCCCATGCGGGTGCAGGGTCCAAGGACCTGGGCCATCCTCTGTTGCTTTCCCAGACCATAGCGGAGAGCTGGATAGGAAGTGGAGCAGCCAGGACTCAAACTGGCACCCTTATGGAAAGCCAGCACTGCAGGCAGTGGCTTTTCCTGCTACACCGCAGTGCTAGCCCCAAGTCTAATGATTTTTAAATGTTTGCACAGTTGAAAAATTTTAAACACAAATTCTAAGTCACTGAAAATGACAGAAGTGAGGTAACTCAAATTCCCTTTCATTGACTTTATTATCACTATACTTTTGTTGTTTATTTCTAATATGTTTAAATACAGTAATATATTGTAACACAGAGCTGGAGGTTCATACTCTGCAGGTCCAAGCTTTGAATGATTTCATTTTGAAGTGAACTTATTCTTCATAGAAACATGTATAGTTGACTCCACATGTATGGGAAACTATAATTGGGAGCTCTTCTCATTAATTTTCATGTGAAATGATGTGCTTATAACAGGACACGTAATAAGATGCGATTTAAAGCTTACATATATTATTAAAACTCAACAGCAGCTGTAACTAGACCATTAAACTGTTCTTTTCTGGGAGGAGTATTTAATCACTGACATTGGTTGCTATTGTTGGGACATAATGATAATAGAAAACAAATGAAACTCTTTTTATTTTTGTTTCTAAATTCTGTACAGACAGTACACTGGCTTTTTGCCGCCCTTGAGCATGGGCAGCACTTTTTTTTCCTTGATATTCTTGAGTGGAGAAAGGATTAGATGTAGGAAGACCCCAAAGGACACTGTTCTGACCCAAAAACAGAGTGCTGAGGATTTGAATTAGATATTTAGACCACAGTGGAGCTCTGAAAGAGTGGGAGGATGTAAGAAACTACAAGGAGTAAGTACATGGGAAGTTTTAAGCTAAAAATTACTTGGAAAATGATGACATGTTTATTGAAATAGGTTTTTCTTAAAAATTATTTATTTATTTATTCGAAATGCAGAGTTACAGAGAGCAGAGGCAGAGAGGGGAGAGGGAGAGGTAGGTCTTCTATGCACTGGTGCACTCCCCAAGTGGCTGCAAATGGCCAGAGCTGGGCTAGTCCAGAGCCGGGCTAGTCCAGAGCCAGGAGTTTTTCCCAGGTCTCCCACAGGGGTGCAGGGGCCCAAGGACCTGGGCCATCTTCCATTCCCAGGCTTCTTTCCCAGGCCATAGGAAAGACCTGGATGGGAAGTAGAGCAGCTGAGTCTTGAATTGGCACCCATAGGGATGCCGGCACTTGAGGCCAGGGTGTTAAGCCGCTGCGCCACAGTGCTGGCCCCTGTTTTCTTTTGCCCTCATTTACTCTACTCCAATACTGGCCTTTTTTCTGTTCTTCAAGCATACTCAGCAGATTGCAATCTCAGTGTCATTTACAGTTGCTTTTTTCTCAGTCTCAAATACTTTCCCCAGATAGCTACAAGGCTCTTTCCCTCTCTTCCTTCAGATCTTGGTGCAAATGTCGTCTTGCAGAAATCTTTCCTGGTCACCCTCTTTTTAACTGCAACTTCTACTTCCTGTTCAACCTTTTCTACTTAATTTTCTGTTTTTTGTTGTTGTTGTTGTTGTTGTTTTTAAGATTTATTTGTTTATTTGAAAGTCAGAGTTACACAGAGAGAGAGGGAGAGGGGAAGAAGGGAAGAGGGGAAGAGGGGGAGGGGGGGAAGAGAGAGAGAGAGAGAAGAGGGAGGAAGAGAAGTCTTCCATCTGCTGGTTCACTTTCCAGTTGGCCACAATGCCCTGAGCTGCGCCGATCCGAAGCCAGGAGCCAGGAGCTTCTTCTGGGTCTCCCATGCAGGTGCAGGGGCCCAAGGACTTGGGCCATCTTCCACTGCTTTCCCTGGCCGTAGCAGAGTGCTGGATTGGAAGTGGAGCAGCCAGGTCTCAAACCAGCTCCCATATGGGATGCCGGCACTGCGGCACCAGCTTTACCCTCTAGAGCACAACACCAGCCCCTCTACTTAATTTTCTGTGTAGCAGGTGTTGCTCCCTGGCAGGCTGAATATTTTACAGCTTTGTTTATTGTATGTTTCCCCTTTCCTAGGATGAGTTCCATGAAAGTAGAAACTATCTAGTAAGCTATTAAATATTATAGCTGAAGCAGTACCTGATATTATGCTATTTAAATGAAAGAAAACAAGAATGAGTGAATGAATAAATATGTAGTTAAATAGTATTCAGTGGTGGTTGTATTGTTTGTTTGTTGGTTGGTGGAATAGATATAAGATAATCCATTAAAAAATTGATTTTCTTCAGTGTGGAGAATGTTTTGATAGTTTTCCTGGAAATATTTGAATTAAATTGGTATCAAACATTTTTTAGCTACAGTAATATATAGTGTTGTAAAATTTGAAACTGAATACATACACTTATTACTTTTAAAAGGTTTATTATCTGTGAGAAAATAGCTTTTCAACTTCGATAGAGTGAAGCAATAGAGGAGAGAGAAATTCTTAATTTTTATTACCCCAATAATTGTTTATGCTCTAGCTAGGTTTATTGGGGGCAGGAATCTTTGCACATAAATCCTAGGAGGCATAAACTGACATTTTAGAGCCACTTAAATAGGTAAGCGTGGGAATTGTCAGAGTAACTGTATAATAGAATAATTGTAACCTCTTTAACGCTAGATGGCCCTAGGCTGCCTCTTACTTGCCAGTTTTGTGAGTTTCAATTAATAGATTAGGAGTTTGGAAGAGAGCTTAGAATTCTTCACTTATCACCTTAGAAAGCAGATGTAGTGACTCCTGCAAACCCCTCAAGACAACATCATACCCACACATCCCTGTATGCCTATGTGCACAGCTCAGATACGGTGCTACCTAAAGTGGCTCCTGTTAGTTGTTATTCCAGAAAAAGATAATGTTCCTGCCTGGTTCTGAGTTTTCTTCTCCTTTTTGAGTATGGGGATTACTGTTAGAGTAATTAATCTAACAATAACTGCTTTGCCAAAAGTTGCTTTTTTGCGTTGAACAAGTCCTGCATTTATTTTATTCTATATGTGTGCATACATTCATCATTTATCTTTGTATTTGTACTCCTTGCATTCTGCAGCATGTTTTGCTGGTGGTTTGATTTCTCTTTGATGTTTTGGCTGATTGACATATTGGAGATTTTCTCATCTGTAAGAAATGTTCTGAAAGTATGCACTGCACACTAAGATTTCCATCTCTTTTCCTTCCCAACTTAATGCTCTAAGCATCACTTAAAATTCTTCTGCTACTAGGATTCTAACATATTTGTACCTTATGGTTTTTGCTCCTTGACAAATTTCCAAGTTTGCATTAAACTATTCAAGTTTACAGAACCTATAGCCTTTATCTTGTACTTCCAGGCAAATATTACAGTTCCTTATTTTTCAACAGCTTCGCAAAGGCTGAAAATTTTGCCTCGTACTTCCCTCAAAGCCAAACAGTTGCTTCAAACTTCATCTACAAAAAGAGGTAACTACAACCTCTTAATAAGTTTAAAGTTTCAGTAGATGGTCTAATTAAGTCTTATGCCTTGTGGCATACCTAGTCAGTTTTGTATATAAGGCAAGTTTTAGTCTCTTTTTTAAGCAATAAAGTAATGTGGATTCATTCTCTGATATTTGAATAAACCCAGAAGAAACATATTTTCTACAAAGGTATGTATTGGATTGCTGTTCTGAAAGGAGTAAATGATAGAGAATTTATCCTTTTTCTTACCAACTTAAAGCCAAAGGTCATTGCCTTAACTTAATACCAGCTGAGCTAATAAATAGTGCTTTAGACATTCAGTATGCTAATTTTTTTCTCAGTCTTTGGTTTTTGGGTATACTTATCTGTGTAGGATTACGTGAGAGACTTCTGCCTTAGAAATTGATTAAAGTTAAAGTACAAGTTGTTGTGATTAATTGATACATTTGAAATATCTGTGGATTGGTAGCTTTAGTAAGAATTGAGTGTTGAAGTGAGAGCTGGACAGCAAAGCTATCCATTGTTGGTTCTAAGAGATTGGAAGTATGGGGCAGCTAGAAGGAAGTAGAATTAAGAGAAAATACTGGGATTGGATAGACAGGCAGTAATAAGAAGGAAAAAAAATCTCAAAGGAAATGGGAGAGAACAAACTTGGGCAATAAGGAAAAAAAATGCCTCTATGCAGCAGATTTAAGTTTCCTGATAGCTTTAGAACTCAATAGATAACAAAGGTATATACGAGGGACAAAGCATTTAAAAAATTAATGGAGAAGAGGAAGTTGGAGATTTGTTGAAAAAGATTTGGTTAATATGGGTACAAAGGTGCTATAACAGGTATTTTAACAAATCAATACTGTCTTTTAAGCAGTGATTTTGTGGATTGAATATAAGTCAAGGAAATAGCTTTAAATAATAGACTCTTGAAGGAAAGAGATAGTAAATCTTTTGTGTTTCAAATATCAGAAGTTGACCATAAGCCTTTCGGTATAATTGGCAGAAATAATAGAGCGGGGTAGATGATGTCCTTTTGATGGAGGAGGTCACTTATTAAGGTCATTTAGTAAAGGATTCTTATGGGATTATTTGAGAACTTTAGTCTTCTTTTTTAAGACTTCCAGATATTTTTTCATACTTCCAATGACTAGGGGGAGAGAGGCAGGTGAAAACAGATGAGCTGGAAAGAATTATGTCTAAAACACGCAAGAGATTGCCACAATAAAATAGTAGAAGAGTTTAATTTTATATAAATTTGTTTCTTGTATGTCTCTGTAAGATACTTTGTACTTTTTTTTGGAATCAGGTTTATATAATTCAAAATTTTTACTTAAAATTTTATCTCAATTTCATTATTTATTAGGTTAAGAATGTGACTTTGGCTAAATTTTGCTTAATTTACACACAGAGACTGGGCTATTTTTGTGACTTTGAGTCACCAGACTGCCAGCTTTCCGTGCTGATGATATAAGCCCAGCCTGAACTGCTGTGAACTAAAATTCTTAGCATCTCCAGCTATCTTGTTTACCTAGTAAAGGGAGAAAATTGTGGGTGTGGGTGTGGGTGTGGGTGTGGGGAAGGGGGATTGATTTGGTTTAATCTCCTACTTACTCACCTTAATCCAGACTTTCATATTTTCTGGTTGGTATGTGACTTTGAGACTATCCTTACATCTGTAAATTCTAAACCAGTTAAGCAATGGATGTGGGTTTAAAGTAGTGCTTAAAATGTTAGTTTCATTAATAGTGAAGCTGAATTGAAGAATATCTCTTGGATCCAAGGCCAAAATGGATTTTCCAGTCTCCCCTTGCACTCTGAAAGAGAGAGAGGTCTATGTTGATCTAGGAATCTCTGCTTTATAAGGATATGAGACAGGAGACAGGGCATATGTTCACAAGTACCTTTGGCCGATTAAACCTATCCAGTGGAGGAATATAGACCAATGGGTGATAAATTGTCACAAAAATAAATTCTCCTATCCTGTGGATGAACCTATATAATTTTTTAGGAAGCTGATGGACCTATTAAAAAGGCTATAGGATTATGGGAACAGGAAAGGATGGGTCTCTGTAACAACTAGAAATACAGTCACTTTGATTTTTACTGATTTGGTACTAGCAGAAATTTGCAGATGGGAAGGAAGGAAAGAACTGTGTTGCCTGGCTCAAAGAGCCACACCATAAACATGTGTTGAGTGAATGTAATCATGCCATTAAATTCAAGTAGGGATGGTGCATTCCTCTGTATTTTTTAAAAAAGATTTATTTGATTTATTTGAAGGAGTTAGAGAGAGGTAGAGCCAGAGAGAGAGGTTCACTCCCCAAATGACCACAATGGCCAGTGCTGAGCTGATCCGAAGCCAGGAGCTTCTTCTGCACCTCCCACAGGGTACAGGAGCCCAAGAACATAGACCATCTTCCACTGCTTTCCCAGGCCATAGCAGAGAGCTGGATTGGAAGAAGAGAAACCGGGACTTGAACCAGCGCCCATATGGGATGTTGGCACTGCTGGCTGGGGCTTTAAGCAGCTGTACCACAGCACCGGTCCCTCTTCTGTATTTTCTTCTGCAAGTTTTGGTGTTTGTTCATACCTTCCATCTCTGAGGAAAAGAACTGTGTGTGTGTGTGTGTGTGTGTGTGTGTGTGTGTGTGTGTGTTTTAAAGATTTATTTTATTTATTTGAAAGGTAGAGTTCCAGAAAGAGAGAAAAGGAGAGACAGCATCTTCCTTAGGCTGGTTCACTCTCCCAAATAGCCACATTGGCCAGGGCTGGGCCAGGCCAAAGCCAGGAGCTTCTGGGTCTCCCATGAGGCCTAAGCAGCTGGTCCATTCTCCACTGCTCTCCCAGGGGCATTAGCAGGGAGCTTATATCCAATCCATATGGAATGCCTGCATTGCAGGCGGTGGCTTTCTCTGCTATACCACAATGCCAGTCCGTGTGTGTATGTGTATGTGTTAAGATTTATTTTATTTATTTGAAAGGCAGTGTTACAGAAAGAGAGATCTTCTGTCTTCTGGTTCATTCCCCAAGCAGCCACTTCTTGAAGCCAGGAGCCAGGAACTCCATCCAGGTCTCCCACATGGGTAGCAAAGGCCCAAGCACTCAGCCCATCCTTCCCTGCCTTCCCAGGTGCATTAGCAGGGAGCAAGATCGAAAGTGGAGCAGCCAGGACTGGGACTGGTGTTCCTACGGGATGCCTTACTGTGCCACTTGGGACCCTGCCACCCATGTGAAGACCCAAATGAGTTCCCAGCTCTGGATTTCATCCTGCCCCAGACTTGGCGGGGAGAGAACCAGTATATAGAAGATTCTCATTCTCCTTTCTCTCTCTCTCTCTCTCTCCCTCCCTCTCTCTCTCTCTCCCTCCCTCTCTCCCTCTCCCCCTCTCCCCCTCTCCCCCTCTCCCCCTCTCCCTCTCCCTCTTCCTCTCTCTCTCTCTCTCTCCCTCTCCCTCTCTCTCCTCAAATACCTTTTTTTTTTATTTGACAGATAGAGTTAGACAGTGAGAGAGAGAGACAGAGAAAGGTCTTCCTTCCGTTGGTTCACCCCCTAAAAGGCCACTACAGCCGGAGCTACACCACTCCGAAGCCAGGAGCCAGGTGCTTCCTCCTGGTCTCCCATGCGGGTGCAGGGCCCAAGGACTTGGGACATCCTCCAGTGCCCTCCTGGGCCACAGCAGAGAGCTGGACTGGAAGAGGAATAACCAGGACTAGAACCCGGCGCCCATATGGGATGCTGACGCCACAGGCGGAGGATTAACCAAGTGAGCCACGGCGCCAGCCCCCTCAAATATATTTTGAAAGATAAATAAGGGGCCAGCGCTCTGGCTCAGTGTAACCCACTGAGTTAGGCCAGGTTAACGACCTGGCCTGAAGCGCTGGCATCCCATATGGGCGCTAGTTCTAGTGCCAGCTGCTCACTTCCGATCCAGCTCTCTGC